GAAACATTTGTAAGTCTTTATATTCTGTCCTGTATTTTTATTATCGCTCGGCTCTTCTTCATATGTATTTTTATTTATTTTTCTAGTCGAACCTCGCTCGATCACTCAATACTCAACGGGCTCCTAGAGTCTCTTCAACAGTGCGTGAGTGCGAAATCTCTAGACGTAGCGTCATCAAGAACTGTAAGCTACGCTATGCACATCAAGATGTCCAAGATTGTTTCAGTTCACTGCTTTTTAAAAATAGTGAGGCAGATTCCTCGTCAATTTAAATCTCTGTTTTGTTTAACTCGTAAACAATTATTTACAGACCATGTATGAATGCTATCAAAATAACGGAGGGAATTAAACCTCTCCTCTTTTCCTATCCTTAGATTAAAACTTTGAAATATTAAGGAAGAGAGTTTGTAGGAAATGCAGACATCAAGTTTGGAATTCAGCTTGTTTTTTTTTTTTTTTTTTTTTTTTTTAATTCAACAGAGATAATTTTCAACCAAAAGTTAACTTCGAAACGCTTAGAAAGTGTCAAATTCAAAAACATGAGTGTTTGACGGGGACCTGAAAACTACACTCTTCAGAGCTCGGGTCTTTTGGCTCTGAATCCATCCTTACACCCCCACTTTAAAACTTTAGCAACTCCCCCAACCAATCTCTCTTCGCCCTTATATTATTTGCTGAACAAAAAACGTAACGTTGTCTTCAACTTACAATTGAAGCAAGACTTTGGGCACATCTCCTCCATACCTTCTCGATAGTCAGTGCAATAGCCATTCCTTTTGTAGAATGAGCATAATCCAATTTCTCTATCTGCGCAGATAGTTAATTAATTTAGAGGGCGGAAAAGCGGTCGTAGACTCGAATGAATACAAATAAAGACAACGTGATATATATACCAACGCCCCGCTAATGAAGCATTGTAACAACGTGTCACAATGACATAACACCCGAGGGATGAGGCTACACAACCCATGATGAATACGTTTACGATTTGCGCGCTTGCGTTCAAATTTGGGAACGTGAGGACTGTGCCAAATCACCTAACGTATCGCTTAAGAGAAGAATACAGTGAACAAAAACGTAGATATCTCTGGAAGAAATTGCAAGACGCAAGGGATGAACAAAAGAAGCGAAATACCAGCCCGTGGATGAGATTGCCGCGAAAATTGTTACTGCTCAACTCAGGGGTTGACACATTCCAATTGGCTTATCACAGTTAGGGGAGCGTTGACTTGTTTTTAAAAAATCACGTTTTTCGGGTTAACTCGTTCGCGTTTTAAATTTTTTAAATAATTTTTTGAAGAAAATTTAAATTAAGAAGTAGTCTTGAATTTGGCGTAAAATGCATATATATTTTGGACAAAATCGCTTTAAGGCCGGTTTTCGCGCTCTAGGGATAAGACTGTATTTAGTTTCCGAACAAAAAGAATGTATAACGTTTAAAGCCATAAGCTAATTGCGAATTGTTGTGTGCAGTTCCACTAATAACAAAGCGTCTCCATCAGAAATGAGCCTAAGTTTTTAAAAGGGTGTGAAAATTGGAAAATAATTAAAACATCCTCTATTTGTCCAGCTTACAATTTTGTGAGTCAAATTACCTATTGGTTCTATGGCAGTTGTTTCTACATCAATAAGTATCAGTAAACGTATAATTGGGAGTGCACGCTAAGGATTTACACCACGAGTGATATTTGAAAATTGAAAACAGTGAACTTGATATAAACGATTCTTGAATGCTGCAAGGTCCATCAGGTTCAGCAGGTCAAATTCCCTAAAGCCCCTAATGGTAGTCATTGTGATCGAATATCCAAATCGAGAAACCATGGAAACAAATTAAAAGAGGTTGGGACAAATTAAAGAATATTTGCAAATACAAGAAAGAGAATCAAGGTTCAGCATATGAGTGTGATTAAAATTCACTTTGCGTATGTTAAAGCCCCTAACATGTTGGCAATCGATTATATTTTCTGCTTCGTTTCTCAATTCAGTCCCTACTATATAGTTGGTATCACTGCCACTTTTTTGGCGGCCGTTATTCTATTTCTAGACCAGTGTTGGTCCCGTTCTAGCGTGTCCCTCGAGAATACAGAAATCCAGTCCAGTGGCGATGGAAGACTTCGTCGTCCAGTTGGACCTCTGGAAAAAGGACTTATCAATGGCTTTGATAAACGACACATTCCAATGATCGTGGTCCTTCTGCGTCTTAAATCGAAAGTACACCTGGATCCCGAAAAGGTTAGGCAGGCATTGGTACTGCTCGCTAAACGATACCCACTTTTGAGGATGAAAATATCGAACGAGTCGCACAATGAAGAGCCGGTCGCCGAATACTTCACTGAAGTGGAAGATCCTAGTGAAATCAATTTTAAGGTAGTCAAGGACTTCAATGTCGATGAGCTTGAATCTGCTTTCGAGCGGGAATTCGAGACACCGTTTGACCTTAACTTTGGTCCCCTTTGGCGTGCCGTTCTTTTGGATGAAATACAAGTTGACGGAGCGAAGGACGCCTACAAAAACGCGATTATTTTTAGCTTTCTGCATGTCATCACAGACGGTCGTTCAATCCTCCTATCGTTGGAAGAATTTTTTCGCTACCTGACCATGGTGTGCGAAGGACAAGAAGCTCAAGTCACAAGCATGCCATTCCGTCCTTCCACTGGAGTTCTGATGCAACACCGCTGCAGACCGTCTCTGTTGGAAAGAGTGTTTTTTAAGGCGTCCTCATGGTTGTCAAATATCAAAACTGTCTTGAAGGTTCGGAAAAATCCGGAAAATCTATACCTGGCCAGCTACCCACCAGTGTCCATCCGTGACCAGGCCGCACCAGATAAGACGTCGGTTGTGTACCGGGAGTATTCCTTCGAAGAAACACAGGGATTGATCAAGGCATGCAAAATGGTCAAGTGCTCGGTTCACGGGGCCATCACTGCAGCTTTACATATGGCTATGGCAAAGATCCTTCACAAAGGAAAAGCAGAAACGTCAACAGATCCACTGTACCTCAATTCAAGCTGCAACGTTGATATTAGGAAGGAATGTCGTCCCGTGATTGAGAGCAGCGAGTTCGTGTTGTGTGTGAGCAGTTTTCGTACTGAAATCGAGGTATCACCCTGGAACAAAGATTTCTGGAAGTTCGCTCAACATTGCGCTCGGCAAATGCAGTGGTCGTTCTTCACTGGACAGCACCACAAATTCCTGAGGCAGTGCCACCTTAAATTAACCGCAGGCGAACAGCAAAGGACGGCACCACGTAACCAGCAAGATCCGAGAGTGTTCAACTTGTCAAATCTTGGGCGACACGAGTGGAAAGCCGCAGAAAATGGTCCTTACCGCTTTGATGGTATTGCAGGCGCTGTATCTTTACGTCCTTCAGGGCTGGTCTTTGGGTTCATGTGTGGCACCATCAACGGAAAACTACGTTTCACAAATAGCTACAATAAGCGGGTCGCGAGTAAAGAGCAAGCTGTTGAGTTTCTCGAGCTCAGCCTGAACATTCTCAAAAAAGCATGTGATAAGGTTTCTTGCTCGTAAACTTGATAACTTAATTCATAGACATTTCAATTTTGATCCTCAGACGTACAAGGCGTCTTTCAGGAATGGGTTTTGGGTTCATGTGTGCCACCAAGAAAAACTCTGTTGCACAAATAGCTGCAATACGCGGGTCATGAGCAGCAAGCTGGCTGTCGAGTTTCTCGAGCTCACTCTAGACATTCTGCTCCTAAACGTAGTATACTTATCAAATAATTTTAAGGCCTTTAATTCACGGAATGTCCCCTAAGATAGCTTTTCAAATTTGCTATGGAGGTTAAAGCACATGTCATAATCAATAAAGTGTTGACTAAAACTACGTAACTTTGCTCATCCAAAATGCTGTATTGGTAACCATGGTACAGGTATTCTCGCACATCAAGCTTTCTACCACTTAACTTTCCGGGGACATTCGATAAGTTGATTACCTGTAAGAATGCTATCGGAGACAAATTTCACATTAAGTCTAGAATGAAAATTTTTGTGGAAATTCAATTTTTTCCCCACCGCACGCGGATTTATTTTTGTCGTGCACTTCCAGGATAAATACGCCTATCATTTATTTATTTTTATTTATTTATTTATTTTTTTGTTAAAACCACGGGTCTCGCAAACTTTTCGTCGAATTCCACAGGTCTCGAAATCTTGTTTTTTTTTTAGCCGTTATGTGTGTCTCGCGATCTCTATTTCTTCACAAAGCTTTCTGGCACACTTCTCGACTTTTTGCAAGGCTAAGAAAGTCTCGAAATGCCGATTTTTATTATTACTATTCTTTTTTAGTAAGTGACGTCTGAACGTCTTAGAACCTGGACGTCTCGAGCTCGCATTTAAAACACTTTAACAGCCTCAATGTCTTGGGCTCGCAAAGAGAAAACGCTAATCTCGCCTTCTCGTAGTCTCTCACTTATCATTCACCACGCCTATATAACAAGTATAACCGTATAGATTACACTCTTTTATCTATGTAAGAATATATTTTACAAGATCAGAATATCGAGGCTGAAATGTGCAAATTATAAGAATAAACCCAAGGCCGAGATTTTGAAAACAATATAATTTGGGTGTTGAAATTTTTTCAACACTATGCAATTATGTTTTTAACTGAGGGCCTTTTCATGTGAGCCGGGTCAACCGGGATCTCGCCTCGCCACTCTTTCCTTCGTGAAAATTTCGATGTGTTCACATGAGAAGCCGGGCTGGCCCGGTTGTCCATAAGAACTTTATCAAAAGCCCTTCGTAAATTATGTTTAGGGCAACTGTGCCAGCCCCAGCGGTCATAAATAGGGCATCGAATTATTGGCCAGGTCATAAATAGGGTAGGAAAATTACAGATTTCGGTCATAAACGGGTAACGGTTTTGGGAGGCGGGCCGCGCACAATCCCACCCATTTTTTTTCTGGAAGTACCCCCACCTCCCACTGGAACTAAACGCGCTTTTCTCATCTATGATCTCCTCGACAGATAGAGATAACTGATTGAAGTTTTCTCTGGTTTAATTATCTACACTAGATCATCAGTGTTCCTGGCTGTCACTCTCTGAACTGCTAGTGTCACTTTCACTGGTGTTGCGTCGCTTCTTCTTCTTCTTGCGTTCGCTGCGGTGTTTGTGTTTCTTTTTGGGTTTCCGTCGATGTTTGGGTTTGTCCGAGGAATGGTGCTTTCGCTTCCGATTTAGTGGCTTCTCGGATGACGTCAGGAGACGCTCGCCCTCTTCGCTGTCAATCACTGCGCCGTTGTCTTTGCTAGCGTCTGGCGATAGTCTGGAAGAAAATGATAAGCACTACTAATAAACAAATGTTCCTTCAATTTCCGCCCCCTCCTCCGCCCTCCCACCCCCTCCCCCCACCCCCCGAGCTTCAATTCAATGCTCTGAGAAACTGGAAGTACACTAAGATGATAACTTATACATGTGGCTGACGATTCACGGTTCCTATAGTTCTCATTATTAGATTATTTATCAAGCGGTAACAAAAAAATAGAGGCCTAGGGAAAGTGAAAGGGAGCGAATTAATTTGTTTTCATTTCTGATACAATAACAATATTGCGAAGGAATCTGTTTCTTATCTCCTCGGACATCTACCTTTCAGACAAAATTAATCCAGCAATGACTTGAAAATAGAGGGAAAGAGAAAGGGTGCGAATCTCTTTTATTTTACATTCCTGGTGCAATAACAGTATTGGCGAGGGAATTTGTTTTTAATCTCATTGCTTTTATTTCTTCTGTCTCGGACATCTTTTACCTTTCAGACAAATGCTTGTGTTCTGTTTCTCTTTCGCTCCCCTCGTCGCTACTATAACTTCTTCTCCTATTCCTTTGTTCTCTGTTCTCGTGTCTTTCCGAAGTCCCGCCACGTTCTCTCTCCTCACTTCGTCTACGATGCCTTCTTCGATAATCATCTCTGTCTCTGCCCCAGTCCCTCAAGCGTCGCTTTCTATAGCTGTCTTGTTCCCAGTCTCTGTCCCGCGATTGATCTCGGTCCGGATCCCTTCGTCGGCTCCACTGATCTCGTCTCCAGCCTCTCTCGGATCTCTCGGAAGTCCGGCCGCCGTCGAATGGCGTGCGGTTTGGTGAACGGTCGTCTCTGTGGCTGAACTCATTCCCTGGATTTCGGTACACGTGCAGGAAGTTGCAGTTCTTGCCTCGTGGACAGCGGTTTCGCTCAAAGAGACCTACAAACAAACACAACACAACAACAACTGAAAGCCATCTTAATAGTGCTTTCTCATGCCAAAAGTCTTCGTGTCTCGTGTGAGTGGCATGCAATTCACAAGACTTTCTCCCACTTGTCACTCTTGACAGTAGACCAGCACGAACTTCAAATATTGCGCCCCCAAGCTCCCTCTTCTCACGATCTGTTTCTGGTAGAAATAGGGATTGGAAACCTTTTACTACACGTCTTCTGATTTTACGCTTTCCTATGAAGCTGAACAAGTAACACGACAACAAGTTTTAGGAGGTAAGGTTGGGCTGGGAAGGGAGAGTAAAGAGAGAAGTAGATGGGATGTGGATGGGAAGGAGAAGAGCAGAACGGAGGGTACCAAACATTTTGAAAACATACCACATATTGCTGACTTCCATTTGGTTACGGGAGAAAATTCACAGGAGAGCTGCTTCGAAGCATACCATCGAGCATTAAATAATGCAAAGGCTTTGGCACATTCCTCTTCACTGCAAATCAAATGGAACGAATTTTACAGTAACAAAGTATGAAGAAGATAGAAATTCAATAGCAGCTGAGAGATAAAACGAGTCAATTAACAGACGAATGATGCACACCTGGTAAACTGCACGTACACATTGCCTCTCAAATGTGGTTCATGGTTGCAGCAAACCTGAAAATAAACCCGAGTTATGCTACTAAAACCGTGATATTGTTTATTATATGGCTAGCTCCGTGAGCGGACAAGATGAACCGAATCCTGCGCTGTGATTGGCTACCCGAGCGGGCAAGATGGCACTGTTTTGCCTTATCGCTGTTACCCACTGTGAGTTCGTTTTGTTCTTGAATAGTGTTGAATTTTGCTGGACTTGTCCCAACATAACCAAGACAAAAGATGCTCACAGACTACTAGCATTATACCGCGCAGAGCGCTTGTAAGCGACTGAGAGTCCTCTCAGTTTTACACCAATTACAGCGAAGCGCAAATGAATTTCCACATATCTTGCTGCATTTTATATACATTACTGTATTTTTTCCAAAACACTGACGTGTAAACAAGACAACTGTTACCTTGAACTGGACAACAGTGCCAGCTTTCCTGAACTCCGGCAAGGTGTCTTCATAAAACTGCTTGAAATTTTCGTACGCCTCCTTCTCATCGTACTGGTAGAAACGTAAAAGAAAAAAAAAATGCTACTAGCACGTTCAGAGCGATTTTCACGTGAGTGTCCGCAAAGTAATTCGCGTTTGCTTCTGTCTGGCAATATTACTGCGCTAAGTGACTGGTTTAAAAAAAGAAAAGAACAGAAAAAAAAAAAAAACACTCGGGCCACTTTGTTAGCCAACAAGAAATAAAACCAAAACAAAACGTGATTCGCTCGTGCACGTTTTCCCGCTTTTCGCATCAACTTGTATTTGCTTCCATTTATGATTGGTTCATTCGATTGCTCGTGTCCTTTGTGAGCAGCCAGGGTGATTAACCAAAGGCTGGAAACCGCTCTATACCAGCTACGGATAGCTACACCTCAATATGATTACTATGTTACTAATGCGGCGTTCGTACTCTCTCTTACTTTTTTCCTAGGACTCTACCGGACCTTTTCACGATCTCCATAGATTTACCGCTACATAAGTCAGAACTCACCTCGAGACTGGTATCTTGATCAGCTTCATCAAGCATAGACTGCGACAGCCGGATGTCATTATACATGGCTGGAATCATCAGCGTCACACTCGAGCTGGGTCGAGGATGCTGTCTTGAACACCTACGGATACAACCAGCAAAGAAATTTGGTTTTAGGCCTAAGTTATCTCTAGACGCTTTAGCGGACAGCAGTGTCTACCAACACTGAATAGAGGAATTAGATCGTTGCTGTCCTGTAGCAAAACGGCCACAGGTCCTCGCGGTCTACGCTATATCGGCCCTACGGATAACTTCATACAAGGTTCAAAAACGCGAAGCGGAACCATGGGCACTGTGAGTGTTTTCACCACAGAGTTTTCAACAAGAATACAACACAGTGATCTGGTCAGCGCTCGCAGCGTACCTGATCCAAAGTCCACCATGCTAACCATTAGGCTACCGCGCCTCGCTCGCTAATTAACAAATGGACTTCAGTTTTTCATGCGTCTGTCCTGTTATTGATCATGAATTTCGTCATAACATTGTCAAAGTAATATATTCCTCAGCTAAAACTAGGGAATATCCCTGTGATATTCCATAAATTTCAAAACTGCGCATGCTGCGAAAAATATTTGAAGGATAATGAACACAACAGCCTCCATTCATCTTGGCGCCAAAATATGTTCAGCTATTTGTCCTTGGACATTATCTGTTCCTCAAAGCTCAAACTGTTCGCTTCTCAGAACAGATAATGTCCGCAGACAAATATCCGAGCATATTTTCCCGCCAAATGGTGGCTATTGTGTATACAAATGTATTCGTATTTTCGGTAGTAGACTGGAACTAGCTCGCAACTGAGGCTAATGCCNCCCCCCCCCAATGAGCCTCCATTGCGAGTTAGTTCCAGTGCAAGAATGACCCATTATCAAACAGTAGTTCCAGTCGCTCTTCGCTTGCATTTCATTGGGTTAATAGCTTGGCTGTCTCACTCACCTATCGCCAAATCTACAGGCTCCTGTCTTCAGGTAAAACGAGCAATTCACTGTGTCCTGAAATTTATCAACATGATACCGTTCTGACAACATTCACAAAATTTTCGATCTACAATATATGGTTTGTTACTCATTGTTAAAAGGTGTAAAACTAAAGAGTGGAACAAACGTTTTGCAGGAGCTGAATTTTGCGGACTAGCAAGTCAGTGTCTTGCAGCATCGAATTTTTGCAATCGCCAAATAAGACTTATTTTGTGTGCGAGAAATAGATGTTTGCGATCATCAGCAAAATGCGTACAATTCTGAATTACAGTTCACGTTTGAATAACAATTTACAGTAAGTTACCGTTGTAAAAACACAAAAATCGGTGTTTAATTATTAGGCTATTACAATGACATCTTATTTGGCTACTGTGGTTAGTTTTTCTGGTGATGAAGTACCTCCACTTTATTAATTTTTTAACTGTCAGTTCTCCATGGATAGATCAAAAAAGAGGTAACTTGTAAGAAACACTTGATGGCAGAAAGTCTACACATGTACCGCAACGTTTGTGCTGGAATTCTGATACCCATACATGACAAAGTTGTCTCGTTATTGATCTCTTAATTTAGGTAAAGTAAAGTCGGCATACGAGCCAAGTGGCGCATCAGGCCGGAGCTTATCCCGGTATCTGTAGCATAAAGCGACTAGGAGTATTTCTACTCCCCCCTGGATGGGATGCTAGTCCATCGCAGGGTTATCCCCAGCACTGTGAGAGTAAAGTGTCTTGCCGAAAAACACAACGCAATGTCTCTGGCCAGGGCTTGAACCCGCAACCGCTTGATCCGGAGACGACCGCGCCTCCGCAATCTCTTAATTTGATGCGGTTATATACATTTCAACACAACAAAACGTTTTTCACCTGTTCTGTGCCGTACGATTTCTTGTCATCTGAAGGTGGTGCAAGCGGGTTATGCCATGCTCCATTATTCTATAACACACAAAAGAAACATACTAATCTCTTACTAACCGAATACGAGGGCCGGGCCCTACTGGGGAATATTGCCCCGAGGTCTTGGCAGCACGAACCTCGCTACGCTCGGTCCGTATCAAAAAGACCGAGGGCCAATATTCCCCAGTGCGGGTCGAGCAAGCTAGGTTAGCAAGTAGTTTGTTATATGGCTCTTGTTTTGAATTCAATTCATCAGCCTCGCTGGTATTTTAACAAGTCCTCCCGGTGTTTCGATAGATTTATTACATTTACTCCATACTTAGTTTACTACATGCATTCACTCGAGGTTTTAAACTAGATAAAGGGTGATAAACAACAAAAGAAAACGCGAAAATCATAAAATAACAACGCACAACAAGGAAAGTCCCTTTTCCTTCTGGCGCTTTTGTCAGATCACCAGGGTTCCAGGTTCACCCTGGAGAGAGAGCAGGCACTGCGAAAGTAAAGAGGCTTGCCTAAGAACACAATACAGCGACCTTGCCAAGCAGGCTGCAAACCTAACTACCTTGATCCAGAGTCTGTCATAGTAACCAGCAAAACAACCTACCTCGCCTCCTGTTACAATTTATAATGAATCCATGTAATTTGGTAAAGATAATGATATCGTCATACCTCTGAAGCTGTGGGTTTGTTTAACTCCCTGAACAAGGCGTCCTGTTGGAATGAAGATGCCAAACAAGGTGCTTGAGGCAATGTTAAGAGTTTTGTCACCTAAGAAATACCTAACTGTGAACTACACAGTATTGTACAATAAGCAATTGCTAAAACACTGTTTTTAAAATCCAAAATATTATCCGTCAAGCAATACCACGAAAGTCCTAAACTGGTCTACGCATAAAGCCTATCCCAATACCTGTAACATAAATATCATATGACTTAGAGGGGAAACAAAATCCAGGTTTTACCTCTGGGGTGACATAAAACAGACATCACTAATATTTAAAAACAAGCTACAAATATTTACAGAGGATAAAAGCATTGGAAATTGCAAGTTTGGATTTTGAAACTCCCATAGAATACAATAACAAGTATATGAAATATAGACATTGGTTCATTACTTCTTATTTCTGATTGAAAGTATCACTGGCAGAGAAGCAAACCTCTTCAAAGGCACTAAATCGATTCAACAACCAGTACCATAGAGATCTAACTGCCAGCTACACTAATCTTATCTACACCATAGTTTATCTGAAATATACCATCTTATAAAAGATACAAATATGTCTTTGACGCAATGGACCCAATGTCTCGAGGACCAGAACTTGTGCAAGAACTTGGCTGTGTTGTTCCCAGTTTGTTAAGGATTATCAGTTCTAAGCTCTTCAATTCTTATATTTATTATAAATTACTTCAAGAATAATGTAACAAATGTATATATTTAATGTCTCAAAAAGGTTTATAACCATACTAAGGAAACTTTATAATGACGCCACATGTGAATCATGCACAGAGCACAGAGAGTATTTTAAGAAACAGAAAGGGCAGAAGTCATTAATTTTTGGTGTTACTTAACAAAATGGCTAGCAAATGACAAAGGGAAATATAGTACACAAGAATCATTTAATAAATTCAAGTTAAACATTATTTTACTATTAAAAATTCACTGAATGTTGATCAGGAACATTGGATACTCATAATTTTATGCAATGACAATGAGTTAAAAATTATCGTACTGATCCCAGGTTGTTCGAAGGCTGGATAATGCTATCAACCCAATAAATCACCATCCAATGGATAAACAAACCACACTATCCGCTGGATAGTAATTTACCCAGTGGATAGTGCTATCCACCTTGTGAACAACCCGGTCTGGTAATGTTTCTGCCATGCTAATTTCCTGGCATTCTAATGACATGGAACCAGCAATGATTTGTGCTGCAAACTTTTATGGATCGCTATTTGCTGTACACACATGTATGTAGCTAACCATGCAGTGCTCAGTGAGCAAGAAGCCAACTGGGAGCTAGTCGTGTTAGTTCATATGGTAATTTGCCTACACATGTTAAAGATACGCAAGTGAATACTTGAAGCGAACCCATCTAATATATTTTCAAGAGCTGTGGGAGAAATGTTTTAGTGACATGACTGAACATAACTTAGGCAGTGCAATAAGTAACGCCTGATCTTTTTCCAGGTTTTGTTTTTCCAGATGTAACTAATCAATGATAAATGACATCAATGAGTAATCAAACTATCAATCAATTACTCATTGATCATCCGCAATAATCAATGACTACTCAGCTGATTACCCATCAATTACCCATTGATTACTCATTGATTTTGCTGACGTTATTGATGTCATCAATTGGTTACATCTGGGTTTCTACAACTGCTTAGGTTGTGTACAAAACAGCCATGATATGTAACATGCTTATTGATAATAACAGAATTTATTTATTAAGCGATTCACATTCATTCATTATAATCTGATTAACATGTAAAATAAGTCGGATACTGCCATTTTCAGTGAATACCCATTCCCATCAACAGTGATATCACCTCTTTCTCTTTGATTGCCCTTTGTTTTCTTTCTTCTCTTTCTTTCTCTCTCCTCTGTTCCTCTTCCCATTCTTTCTTAATTCGTTCCTACAACATAATGTACATTGTAATGATATAAAAGTTAACTAAAGGTAAGTTTAAAGTGTTTGCACTGTTTCAGTTCTAAACCGATCAGTGAAAAAAGCAAAACAAAACAAGAAATATACCATTAATTAAACGCCATTATTTGTGACTAGTTTTGACAAATTCTGGCTTGGCCTTTGTCTTAAAGTCAGAATGGGAACCACTCAACAAGGCCTTGGATGTTGTTGTGCAGTAATATCTACACATACAGTACATTTGGTCATTAAGAACTCTTTTATAAATATGTACAATGCAGTCTACACTGCTTCTGCCTCATTACACAAGTTATAACTGCCAACACTACTAATAGCACTTTTTTTCTATGCTACATGTATTACACATAATCAATCACCTCTTGTTCTAGCTTTTCCCTTAATTTTCTTTCTTCATCTTCCTTCTTCTTTCGAAACCTCTCCTGGGCAATAGCTTCCCTTTCCAGCCACAAGCGATGTTGGACTTTCCTGAGAAGAAGAATATCAATCAGTATACTTACTACATAACTCCTTTTAGTCCAAAGTTGACAAAAATGTTGATTCTCCCCAATGACTGCTACACATCTCTCTGAAATGTTAGTTTTGTGAGTCTGATGACCAATGATTACAGCATGGCTAAAAAGTAAGTTACCAACCTCTCGCAAGTGAAGACACTGCTTGAACTTCTTACAAGTGAGATATTAATAGCCGATTGTAAAGCAAACATGCAGCAACAATGCAGCAAAACATTGCGCACTGATGTAAATCTAAAAAAAATCCAGAATCATCCCAGAATCTTCAAAAGAAGTTCAATTTCCTCACCTCTCTTCCTCCTCTTTCAGCAATAGCTTCTTTTCTGCTCTTTCCCTTGCTTCTAACTTGGCTCTATACAAAAAGAACACACTTGACCCTTTCAACAACAGCCACTCTAGAGACCAGAATCAAGTAGCTATTGGAGAAGAGCAGCTTTTGAAGGGAGGTTTTGAAAAGAGCAAAAGAAGTTTTCTTCACAAAATAATTTACAAGGGTCTATAAAGTATCTTGATGTAGAAAGAAAAGAATCAAAAAGGACTCCTTCATCAAAATTTTGAACTGCCATTGCTTCAAACTGGTTCTACTGTAGATGAGCCGACCTACTGCACACCCAACTCTGGCTGTGACTTCAAATACTAAATGCAGGACCTATACTCGCTTTGTTGTAGTCGTTTTTCTTGAGAATTTATTTTAAAATGTCTGGCAATTCATAGGTAGACTTGTCTAAATGGTTTTCAAGTACAGATTCAGAGCAATGCTCTGGATACTTAGATGACAGCTTTTAGTCAGAAAATGAAGACTTTCCATCTTACAATGACAGTAAATCATATCACAATAAATTAAGACACTATAACAACTGCTACAGTAGCTCAAAAATTGCTAGAAATAAATTTAAAAAACCCTGTCTTCCTAGGTAAGGACAGCAAAATGATTTGGACTATACAATACATAAACAGTAAACAAAACACAGTGAGGATTAAAGCTGCAAGCTTGTGGGGCCATGTGGAAAATCAAATTTACAAGTATAAGTAAAAGCCATGGACAGGTTAGTGAGAACCATGTTATATGTACGAGTATACAGATTAAGAAAATGTAAGATATGGAAATACTGTACATGTATGAAAACTTTGATTGCACTGGCACTTCGAAGACATGGCTTTTAGCAGAGGATCATTTATAACTTAATTTAGTATAAACCGCACAAAAGAACAGTGCTTCACATGCGCTCTGATTGGTTAAATCGGAGGTGATTAGCAAGTACTATTCACCTCTGAGCAGCTGGCATTAGAGATTTTAAAATTTCTGACCACTTGTCACACATAAAATAATGTTTTGGTCTGCTAATTATTCAGCTTGTGTGGTATATACTAAAACAATTATTCACCTCAGTGTATGTGAAAGTGATGGATATTTACCTCCACTTTGGTAAATAATTGTTAACTATCATTAATTTGTCAGTTTAACCGGGCTAACACCAGCAACATCAGTGAGAAAATCTAGCCTGTGTACATCTACCCCCTCCCCACAGACAAACTTGGGTCCAAGACATATTTTTAATGGGAGGGGGCAGATGTACACAGGCTAAGCAAATCTACCAGCAGTGCTGGAGGTTCACTTGGTCACAACCTCAGAATGCATGCCAACTAAGATCCCAAGATGACATTAGCCTGGGCTCCAGAAGAAAAGAGAAGACATGGTAGACCGAGAGAGATCTGGCACAGAACCACAGAGAAAGGACAGTCTTGGGTGTTACATTGCAGAGCAAGGCAGCAGTTGTTGCATGTGACCAGGTGGCATGGCCAAGAAAGATTTCTGGCTCATTACCCCCAGGCACTATGGGCAAAAGTGAAAGTAAAGTATCATTTGTCTGTCTATGAAAGAGCAATGGATGACAGGAGACTTCTAAGAATAACCAACTCCAGAAAGATGTCAGTTTCTTACATGAGCAGATAATTTATACTCTAAAATTCCCTGTTCAGTGATTCTTGTGGGAAATAAGACTCATCACTGCACAAAAACAGATGAGTCATGTTTCACTAGTTCAACAAGACCAGAGACTGGGAAAGGTACTAGTC